GGTAGTAGTATCGGCCGTATGAATCGTTCGTGTACGCATAATCCCGGCTTCAGATGATGGATGTAAATAGCCTCGGCGATAGACCAGATTTGCTTTCGGAAGCTTTGTGATAAGCGTTCAGGTAGTGAATAGATGACTTTAAAGTCATTCTCAGATGCAGTATGGCCACTTTCGAGGAGGTGCGACATGATTGAGCTGTCTGAGGCCCTCATTTCGCCTTTGTAAAACCACGCCGGGATGTGCTCGCGAATCCTCTGGGATAGATGTCTCGTTGTGCAACCCACGTATCGTGCACCACAAGAGCACGAGTACTGATAAACGAGCATTGAACGGGTCAACGATGGCAGACTATCTTTCAAGGGTTTTGCAAACAATGGTTTGTTGTGGTAAACAATTCTTAAGCGGGCTGCGAAATAAGTTTTCTCAACAGCATCTTTCAAACGTCGAGATAGGATATCAGCTGCAGTATCGCCCTTAAATGGTAAATGTATGAACAGCTCTTTCTTGGGAGCAATGCTTCTAGGTGGCTTTCGCTTGCGTTCTTTCATATGCTTCATGATAAACTTATCGGGGTAACCATTCTCACGAAGGGCGTCGCTGATTCTCTGTAGCTATTCGTTGACGGTATCCGGAGTGCAAATACTGCGCGCCCTGAAGGCAAGAGATCGGATTAAACTCCTCTTGTGCTGTAAAGGCACCGCGCTGTGAAAGTTAGTGTACTGTCCAGTCCACGTATGCTTTCTGTGTACCTTTCTGCTACATGAGCCGTCCGAATTGCGGATGACTTCTACATCCAAGAAAGGTAAACGGTTTTTATTTTCGTGCTCACAGGTGAAGCGTAGATTATCATGTGCATCATTAAAGGCCTTCAGCAACTGTTCTGCATGCTTTTCGGATTCGCAAAGCATGAAGATGTCATCGACGTACCGTATGTACATTTCAGTTCCACAAATGTGCGTCCTGAGTGGGCCATGTTCTAATTTCGCCATAAAGATATCAGTCAACAACGGCCCCAAAGGAGATCCCATGGTCACTCCATCAATTTGACGGTACATCTCACCATTGAACATGAATTGAACATTTAACGTGCAGCGAAATAGTATCTCCTTTAGCAGATCCTCCGGAAAGTTAGCGTATATTGGTAGTTGCCGGGTCAACTCGCACACGTACTCCACCGTTTCGAGCAGGGGAATGTTTGTAAACAGCGACTGGGCATCAAAAGATATCATCCTTTTGTTAGTAAAGTTGAGTCCAGATATCTTCTCAATGAATTCGAAGGAGTCTCTCACGCAGTAAGTGCAAACCCTATCCCGTAACGGTTGCAATTTGTTCACCATCCATTGGGCCAACAAATGCTGGGGAGAACCCACCATGTCCAAGATTAGACGCATTGGGGCGCCTTCCTTGTGAACTTTTGAAAGGCGGTTCCTTACATCAAGAATGTATCTGAACTGACGTCAAGGTTGCTACGACCACATAGAATCTTGGTAGCCCACAAACCAACAGGTACTCTGCGAAGATTGCTTTCAAGACCGAAGGACAAAGTTAAACAAGGCAGTCAGAATGATGTCATCTACAAAATTAACTGCAAAGAGTGTGACAAACATTACATCGGACAAACTGGAAGGAAACTATCAACACGGATCAACGAACACAGAATGGCCATACGGAGACACGACCCGCATTCATTAGTTTCCATGCATGAAGACCAAGAAGGCCACCACTTCGATCTAGAGAACGTTAAGATCCTAGCCCGTGGAAATTCGAGGCAAGCTAGAGAATTCTTGGAGGCATGGTATTCTACCGACAGTTCAATAAACCAACATGTTGAAATACATGCTATACATACGGCATTACGAATGAAAGATCACCGAATTACTAGAAGAAATCTAACGGAAAAGAGCGCTAGACTACTGCATCAAACGACGACAAGCGAAGAGTCCCACGCGCGTACACTACGAGGTGAGAATCAGAGATCGATTTATATGGTCATGTGCTCGTCGAACAATCTAAACTCAGAGTAGCGGCTAGGAGATCGATCACTCACACTCACCGACGCCTCGTACGCGCCACACTGCTAAATGCACTCGCACCGACGATGTCACCTTGAATGGTGACGAAACGTTTGCAGTCAACCTGCCGAGCTCAGCGAACAATCAGCCAATCAACTAAACAACCTGAGCTACCAACATTTGCTTCTATATCGAAGGCCATATAATCTCGGTAGGTGTCCACCTGAAGGCTTCAACTTTTCGTATTCGCTCTTTGTGATCAGTTTGGCTTGCATCATTCGCTTGAGGCAGCCGGCCAACCGTTTCTCTAACTCCCCTGTGTTGTCCTTTCCGGCCATAAGCTTCTGGAACTGAGGATAGGTTGCATTTTACAGATATAATCCACCCTATCTAATAACACTATGCCGGACCCTTTGTCTGGTCTAGAGATAATTAATTCGTTGTTTAACCGTAACTCTTTAATTGCCTGAATTTGCTCCCTTGAAATAATACCATTACTAGATGGTTTAGCCTTAACATATTCATGACAGCTATTCACTAGACTAGATTTTAGGTTTACAACATCACTAGATGTTGGAAACAGATCTCTAGTTTGTATCATTAAGCTTTCAAACTGCACTTCTAAGGCTGCCTGATCTATTTTTTTACGTGGACTACAAAACTTAGGGCCTAATGAAAATACTTCCAGCTGTGTTGGGTTTAGCACTACACTGGAAAGGTTGAACACATACCGTTCCGGGTTATTCGGAAAGGTCAGTTGTGGGACTTGGTTGTTAAGCGTACTAAGTAATTTCCTTCGCTTTCTTGCTCCCACTTTCAGCTTAACTAATTCCACATATTCCTCAAAAGGCCGTCGCAGATCCTCAGACAAGCCTGACACCGATGGAAACCTTTGCGAAATGAATCTCTCCAGCTCCGACATTTTAACGCCAATGGTGTCCACATAATTAAGTGCATGCCTCTTCAAAGTTTTTGCGTTTGGGTAGAGGCCACAGCGCCGTATCTCTCTCCAAAAGTGTTTTGGATAGCGGCTTGCCTGCACGCATTCATTAAGAAATTCCAATTCAACCCTGGATTCCTCCAACCGAGTACTGAACTTCAGATACTCATTCAAAATTTTCAACGAATCACGGGCAATGTTGATTTTCAACACAGCAAATATTCCCATTGTAATCAAATGAATCAAGACCAGAAAACAGTTCAGGGTTAAGATATCTTTTCGGTAAAATCTCGTCAGACCCAAACTTTTACATGACACGGATTATGTGGGGTAAGCGTCAAATCGGGCTGGGATTGATTTCTAAGGGGTTTGAAAGCTCAAGCTCGATGACTAAAGGTGGCTACAGATGGTAGGAAAAGTGCATCAAAGGAAATTAATACAAGCTTCAGGGCCTAAAATAAATAGCTAAGGTCACAAAGGGTAGTTAAGTAACCATGTCAGTCGGCCAAGGTAGTAGTATCGGCCATATGAATCGTTTGTGGAATTAGTTAAGCTGAAAGTGGGAGCAAGAAAGCGAAGGAAATTACTTAGTACGCTTAACAACCAAGTCCCACAATTGACCTTTCCGAATAACCCGGAACGGTATGTGTTCAACCTTTCCAGTGTAGTGCTAAGCCCAACACAGCTGGAAGTATTTTCATTAGGCCCTAAGTTTTGTATTCCACGTAAAAAAATAGATCAGGCAGCCTTAGAAGTGCAGTTTGAAAGCTTAATGATACAAACTAGAGACCTGTTTCCAACATCTAGTGATGTTGAAAACCTAAAATCTAGTCTAGTGAATAGCTGTCATGAATATGTTAAGGCTAAACCATCTAGTAATGGTATTATTTCAAGGGAGCAAATTCAGGCAATTAAAGAGTTACGGTTAAACAACGAATTAATTATCTCTAGACCAGACAAAGGGTCCGGCATAGTGTTATTAGATAGGGTGGATTATATCTGTAAAATGCAACCTATCCTCAGTTCCAGAAGCTTATGGCCGGAAAGGACAACACAGGGGAGTTAGAGAAACAGTTGGCCGGCTGCCTCAAGCGAATGATGCAAGCCAAACTGATCACAAAGAGCGAATACGAAAAGTTGAAGCCTTCAGGTGGACACCTACCGAGATTATATGGCCTTTCAAAAGTTCACAAGGAAGGCGCCCCAATGCGTCTAATCTTGGACATGGTGGGTTCTCCCCAGCATTTGTTGGCCCAATGGATGGTGAACAAATTGCAACTGTTACGGGATAGGGTTTGCACTTATTGCGTGAGAGACTCCTTCGAATTCATTGAGAAGATATCGGGACTCAACTTTACTAACAAAGGATGATATCTTTTGATGCCCAGTCGCTGTTTGCAAACATTCCCCTGCTCGAAACGGTGGAGTACGTGTGCGAGTTGACCCGGCAACTACCAATATACGCTAACTTTCCGGAGGATCTGCTAAAGGAGATACTATTTCGCTGCACGTTAAATGTTCAATTCATGTTCAATGGTGAGATGTACCGTCAAATTGATGGAGTGACCATGGGATCTCCTTTGGGGCCGTTGTTGACTGATATCTTTATGGCGAAATTAGAACATGGCCCACTCAGGACGCACATTTGTGGAACTGAAATGTACATACGGTACGTCGATGACATCTTCATGCTTTGCGAATCCGAAAAGCATGCAGAACAGTTGCTGAAGGCCTTTAATGATGCACATGATAATCTACGCTTCACCTGTGAGCACGAAAATAAAAACCGTTTACCTTTCTTGGATGTAGAAGTCATCCGCAATTCGGACGGCTCATGTAGCAGAAAGGTACACAGAAAGCATACGTGGACTGGACAGTACACTAACTTTCACAGCGCGGTGCCTTTACAGCACAAGAGGAGTTTAATCCGATCTCTTGCCTTCAGGGCGCGCAGTATTTGCACTCCGGATACCGTCAACGAATAGCTACAGAGAATCAGCGACGCCCTTCGTGAGAATGGTTACCCCGATAAGTTTATCATAAAGCATATGAAAGAACGCAAGCGAAAGCCACCTAGAAGCATTGCTCCCAAGAAAGAGCTGTTCATACATTTACCATTTAAGGGCGATACTGCAGCTGATATCCTATCTCGACGTTTGAAAGATGCTGTTGAGAAAACTTATTTCGCAGCCCGCTTAAGAATTGGTTACCACAACAAACCATTGTTTGCAAAACCCTTGAAAGATAGTCTGCCATCGTTGACCCGTTCAATGCTCGTTTATCAGTACTCGTGCTCTTGTGGTGCACGATACGTGGGTTGCACAACGAGACGTCTATCCCAGAGGATTCGCGAGCACATCCCGGCGTGGTTTTACAAAGGCGAAATGAGGGCCTCAGACAGCTCAATCATGTCGCACCTCCTCGAAAGTGGCCATACTGCATCTGAGAATGACTTTAAAGTCATCTATTCACTACCTGAACGCTTATCACAAAGCTTCCGAAAGCAAATCTGGTCTATCGCCGAGGCTATTTACATCCATCATCTGAAGCCGGGATTATGCGTACACGAACGATTCATACGGCCGATACTACTACCTTGGCCGACTGACATGGTTACTTAACTACCCTTTGTGACCTTAGCTATTTACTTTAGGCCCTGAAGCTTGTATTAATTTCCTTTGATGCACTTTTCCTACCATCTGTAGCCACCTTTAGTCATCGAGCTTGAGCTTTCAAACCCCTTAGAAATCAATCCCAGCCCGATTTGACGCTTACCCCACATAATCCGTGTCATGTAAAAGTTTGGGTCTGACGAGATTTTACCGAAAAGATATCTTAACCCTGAACTGTTTTCTGGTCTTGATTCATTTAATCGTGACTTCTACTTCTACAGAATTTACACTTCTGACAAACATCCAAAATCTAATCTACCATCGCCCATGGGACATTTGAAGGACAGGTACTTCGCTCCTTTGGGAAGTGACGGGTGAGTGAGCCAATCTGCAACACCAGGACAGGTAGTGTGAGCTTATTGGCAATACGTCGCGCACCAAGCAGAAGTCATGTGTTAAAATTTACGCACCTAATCGTCAGCCCTCGGTAGCTCAGTGATAGAGCAGCGGACCGGAAATTCGTAGACCGGGGTTCGATTCCCCGTCGAGGCACATTATTGCGCGTGAATTGTAATCGAGACTTCTACTTCTACAAAATTGATAGTTGTTCAACCGCACCAAGGTCAGGCGAAGAGACAGATGGAGGTCGTAACGCGCAGACTGTCGGATTCAGCGATCATTCGACTCGCAGTGGAACACACACATCCACCCAAAGCGGTAGCGTGTGTTAATCGGCCTGCTTTAAACGACGATGCAGGTGGAGCGCTGATAAGCGTCCCTAGAGCTGCTCAGTTGATGAGCGGAGCAAAAAGGCTGTAACTTTGTTATGCTGCAATTTGCAGGGATGGTTTTCGCGTAGTTTGGGAGCCCTCAGCTTCTTCTTCCGAATGAGACCAAAATCTTTTCCGAAAAACCGGTTTGATGTAGTTACACAAGTGGAAGTCGGCAAAGAATATGCCGAAAACTGGGAACTGGAGCAAGAGTGTAATCCACACAGGTTAGTTCCAAGAGTAGGGAAACACTAAGTAGAGCTCGTCAAACTGGTTCGAAGGAGCTCACATACAATATTGTGTGGGGAGAATTGGAGTGGCTACAGAGGGCAAAGCGCGGGCCGAGTTAAAGTGCGGCCGCACGGTAGGTGTCAAGGCCCGCAAACGATGAAGTGGATGCACATTGGGCGTTGCCCACGAGAAAACACTGCACTCTGCAACAGTTTAAGAACTTGCTTGTAATCATCATGTAGAGGTGGCATGTACCGTACCCGGGTCCATCTGCATGTTGGCTGAACGCTTTACTGCTTCAGCCACAGAGTCGCGACGGGCAACACTTGTCACAACGGTTAATGACCGATTAAAGAATTATTTTGAAGCACTTGTTGCGTGAATGGATTGCGACACAACCTCAATATGGACCACAACAAGTGCTTCAATCTGACCCAACAATCAGTCATTAACCGTTGTGATAATCGTTACTCGTTATGACTGGGTGCTTAAAGTTTTCAACTAACATCCTAATCGCTCCGGACTCGATGCCTGCTAGCTCTACCTTAGGAGATCAAGAAAGCGTTACCGACTTTAATGCATAAATTAATCACTCTGTACCTGGATGTAGGTATAACGACATCTTACCAGAAAAATTTGAAGAGGAAATGTGCAATGTGAGTCCCGCAGTAACGGTCTGTCTGACAACGAGTAGCGAACAGCTGCGAGTGCACGACAGACGAATGCAACATACACACGGATCACGGCGTGAGGAGAAGACAGGAGGAGGCCTGGCACAGTGTATTGCGAAGCATGGAACACTAAGGCGGAAGTTCAAGGTCACCAAAAGCATAAAAAGTAGGAGAGTTTTGCAGATATCCAACGACAACGCTTTCATTCATGTTCGTGATATTCGGCTGTTGCCTCCGGAGCATTCACATTGGCGATATTTAAAGACAGAAGGGAAGAAATGGAATACCTTGTTTAAATGAAATTCGGAAGGTGTTGTAAGTTCAGCGATTGCTGTCACAAATGGTACTACAAGATTTAATCTCAGGAATCTCGGCCGAGAGTGCCAGTGGAGTTATTATCATTGAGAGAGTCAGCCGCTGCGTGGAAGAACGTTTGTCTCATTGTTCGCCCAGAAAATATTATACATCAGTTGCGTGAATCCACTGGCTGTCCGGTCGTTGATAAGGTCCACCCGATCAGTAAGCCACGCAACTCCAGTGAACAACGAAGATAATTCGTGTGTCATCGCTGCGGCATGCGGCATTCTCACGTTATCGAATGCGGTATCAGGAAAGCAACTGTCGGAAATGCAGCTAATTACGTCATCTAGCTCGCCTCTGCAGATCAGCAATCCATCGACTCGTCAGAATAAGATAGCTTTAGGTGAGGATAAAATCGTAGTAAACCTAAACAGCGCACAGAACTCTTTGTATTTGAACAGGCCCAGACAAGAACTGCCTTCCTTATACAATACGTGGGACGAAGGAGGACTAGACCATTAACATAGACTTCAATACTGAGACAGCGGTGACTATTGTAGACCGTGGTTCACTCAAAAACCTACCACCAGTACAATCATGTAATGTTACAAGCGTTTACCGGCGACTCAATCAAGACATTAAGGAGACTGTTTTTCGAGTTTGGTCAGACATTTAGTTACATCCAGGCACGGTGGACGAGAATTCACCCTACCTCTACTCGTCGTACCTGGGAACAAATCAAACCTGATGGGCCGTTGGGTACAATTTCTCTCGGATGACAATACATAACGAAATCATTGTTGAAGCACTTAGAACGGGTTGTTTAACCATTTCTCACCGGTGTCGGAAGACATATAGGGGAAGATGCGCAATTCCAAAGCTTCTATTTATGTACGGGTAAATCTCGAGGCTAGAGTTTGAGAACTTTAACGGTACCCTGTGTAACGCGTAATTAATTTGAGGCGGGGTTTCAACGTCTGCAATCAGGACTAATATTTCCGGTGCAACATTCAGATTGAAGCTTCTCGAATGTACATGTACTAAAACCTAACGGATTCGTCCGCATCTGAACAATGCACAATGAACAATGATGTACGGCAGGTAAAAAAGCACTACTTGACAAGTCCCGCAGGATGGTGGGGGTAAAGGTACAATTATCAAACGATTGATGTGTTGTGTGTTTGAGCGGTTATCTAGCAGATACGCTGCTGAATAATAGTAGTGTATGTGGGAATTGAATGTGAACGGCGTGGCAACATGACGACAGTTATAGTTGATGTATTGCATGTGCAAAGTAAAAACAAAAATACTCACTTCTGTCCCGCATCCTCAGGTTTACGTAACCTGCTACTTTGGTTTGGAGGGATAATTAATATATTCCAAAGTTGCACAGTTTAGGCAACGAAGTGATGGGCGCCAATGGCAAGATTCAATCGTTTTTTGAGAATATCCAAGGTGGTGGAGAAGACAACGAATTGTATGAGAGTTCCAGGATTGGCGAGCCCGTAGTGAAGAATAATTTCGTTGGCATTCCAGGCTGAGAATACCAGGTGACAATGAATCAATCATCGAAGGTGGAACAGTACCCTTTATCACGTATTGAGGAACTGTAGTGACATTAGCTGGTGTTCAAAAGTCTTCTATGCTGGAACTTAGTTATGCATATCCTAAAGTTGAGATTGATGACGGTTCACAGGAAACGACCACAATGGCCGATTACTTGAGACTTTTCCAGTACATACGTTCCTGATTTGGAATTAATTCATCACCCAGCATTTTCTAGTGGATCATGGATAACATAAGTAAAGATATGCAAAACCGGTGGATCAATTTCTAACCGCTGTGTCAAGCTGTGCATGCGGAGCTCAATGGTTATAGACGCCAACCATTATGTGCCTAGTTTCATTCATAATTCAGTCTACCACTACATGATGAATCCAAACCAGAACAAAACCGTCGGTCGTGGAGTGCAGAGATGGGATAGAGCAACACCGAAACCCTTCACTTTGGTCGGATACGGTCCCAGTAATCGGATTGGCACAGGCTGATTTCAAAGTCAACCGAATGTACAATTGAGATTGCGCATCGCAATCCAAGACACACGGGGGGTACTCCACAACCCGACTACGATATCCTATTCACTTGTGCATATTTGGGTGAAATCATTTTTTCAGACCACATTGACGTTGCACGTTGAATGACAATGCGCACTGTCTTCGAACTTTTGCAAAAGAATGGGCTGAAATGAACATAGTCCAAATGTGCGTTTCTATCCGATTCTATTTGTTGCCTCTGTTGCAAATTCGACAAAACGTGTCTACTTGTTTCATAAGATAAGATAGCTTCAGATGCACAGGCACCACAGCGCATGAATATTGATTACGAGTATTCTTAGAAATGTTGTCGCACTGCTGTAGCCTCCTAATGGATACGTCAAACATCTGTTTCAGTGGAGGAATTCTCACGTAAAAAACGCCCAATGCGTGTAGAGAAGTGAACACAAATCTGCTTTCATGTATGCAAAGACGGGGCCGGTATCCGCTCCTGTTGTAGGCCACCACAATAACGCAGAAACAGTTGTTAATTATGCAGTGTAATGCTTGGCCATACGGAGTCGAAAAGGTTTTGTCACAAAACGCTGATTAGTGTACATCACTCGATTGCGTTTACCTCACGTGTTTTACAACAAACCAAAATGAAGTACTTCCAGTTAGACAAGAAGGCACCATCCGTTATGTCTGGTCCCGACATCCCACTACCACATTTGAGGGAATTATTTCGAAATACAAACAATTCACAGGTCTCTAATATCTTTTTGATCGAGTCAAAAGGGAAGGAAATGTTCTTCCTGAGAGTGCAATATTCGCTGATAATCTCAGATGCATCGAAATGCAGTATTTCGTATATTCCCTGTTGGAATACTTGTATGGCGGATACATCAAGCCAGGCACTACAATGAACAATGATTTAGCACGGGTAAAAATGCATTTGCTTGACGAGTCCCGTAGGATGATTGGAGTAAAAATTAACATCTGAAGGATCATCGAATAAGTAAATCGTTATTTCAAGTGTCCACCGAGTGAAATGCACTACTGTATAACGATAGTTTTGAGTGGGAAGGGGATGTGCACACGCAAAATAATATAGAGAGCTGTTATAGTTCAGTAAGTTTTTTTATATACACGTTAGCTGCAGGTGCAAAACACCTCAGCTATTGTGCCGCAATACAAAAGACAAGAAAAGGAAAACAAACAGTGGCACGCCCGCTGA